TGCCACTTGACGTTGGCTGCTTGTGGCGGGGTTAGGAGAGGCAGAGTGTGGGGAAGGGGAGGGACTGCCGGGCTGGGGGCCATTGCAAGAGGACGTGGTCTTTGCCCTCTCCGGGTTTGTGCTGGTCTGCTCAGTGCTCCCTGGGCAGGGCCCTTTCCTCTTCTCTCTCCAGGTAAAACACTGACCGAAAGCCCCGTCTCTGCTTCTCAGTCATGGCAGCCAGAATGCCAGCCCCGTGTAGTTGGTGCTGGGTTCTGCCTCCCGGTCACAGTGCCACATTGCACAAGGAGGGCAGAGAACAGCAGCACACCTGGCTAGACGCCGCATGTGCCAGGGGAGGGCTGGTTCCGAGCAGCTCGGCTGAGGATGGAGGTGTCCTCTGTTCCCATCTTCTCTGTTGTAACACAGCCACACTGAGCATAGGCCTGACAGCTGTGAGGCGTGGGTGGCGGTTGGCAGCCTGGCGGTTGCCCAGCACCGCAGACATGGTCTTGGTGTGCATGTGCCCAGTCTCGGGGTCACCCAGAAACTGAGGGGTTCAGTTTGGGCTCCTGACTCCTGATGCCCCTGGCTGGCATTAGCAGGTGTGTCGCGGCTCTGGGGAGTTGGCCCACCCTAAGTAATGACCCGGCCCACGGTGGATGGAGCCCGAGAGCAGGAGAGAAGACTCAGCCCTGGGGACCAGCAGATGGCATAATGGTTATGTTGATGGACTCCCACGACCCAGAGGCTTAGAACTTACGTGGGGAGTGCATGCATGTGTGCCCAAAATCCCGAGAGGAGAATGGAGGAGACAGGACTGCGGCGTGGCCATCCCTCCTGGGGGTGATTCTCTCTGTCTCTCTCAGTCTCTCTGACTACTGTGCATCCTATAGCAAAAATCCCTCTTAAAAAAATAAAAAGACCCAGCCTGGGCCAGTGCCAGCCTTTAGCGGGGAGGGACGGGCCGCCACAGCCTGGCTCCGTCTCCCGCCCGAGCTCAGGTGGGTGGTGCCTCACAGAGTAGCGGTGTGACCCCACGACGCAGCCCCCTTCCCCTGCTTCCCACCAGTGCGTCTCCCAGAGGTCTGGGACCCTCGGGGATCCCTTTACTGCCGCTGCCCTCTGCGTCCAGGACGGAGTCCCTGCCCCGGGCGGCCGGGCCTCCTCACCCGTGGAATATCCAGGTGCTGCACTCGTCGGCTTTGGTGATGTAGTTCTCGGGCAGGAGACCGGAGCAGCCGGTGGTCAGCGACGTGCCGTAGACCCAGCCCTCGCTGGTGCTGGTCTGCTCCATGGGGGACATGAAGATGAAGTCCCCGGGGACCAGCTCCAGCTCGTCGTCATTCTGCGGGCTGTAGGGGTAGATCACCTGCAAGGTCTGGGACACGGAGAGGACGCGTGAGCCCAGGCGCCGTCTGGCTGAGCCCCTGGCGGGACGCGGGAGCCCAGGCGCCGTCTGGCTGAGCCCCTGGCGGGGCGGGCTGTGTGCTGTGGGAGCAGTCACCCCTGCACCGGGACACAACAGGAGCCGTCTGTGGGCTCTGGCTAGCTTTGGGTTCTGAGAAGAGAGCACTGGTTCTCACTTGGGTCCTGTGGGTGTGAGCTGGGTGCCACCAGAGGGTTCTACCCCTTCCTACACGCAGGACTCAGATATAGTTTCTGGAACTCAGACCGAGAGCCCACAGGCTCCCCAGGCAGCGGACAAACGGACACACACCTCGCTTCCCCAGCTCTGGCTGGGACGGTACCCTGGCGTGTGTGAAATCAGCTCCCGGGAAGTCAGTCTTCCCTGGGGGGGGGGGTCCCAGGGACAGCCAGAGGAGGGGTTTGCCAGTCATGAGTCCCCTTTCTCTGCAACTCGGCTATTTATCATTATTTTTAAAGAAGTAATTATTTAATTTTATTAATTATTACTATTCATTTTTAATAAACAATACATTTGCTGTAGGGCGGAGCCAGCAGGTGGTGTAGTGGTTAAGGTGCTGGACTCGGCCGACATGGCTGACAACAGTTTGAGTCCTGGACCTGGTGGCTTGGAACTCAGGCCAGGTGTGCATGTATGCCCAAAATCCCATGAGAAGAATGCAGGAGAAGGGATCGTGGCCATCCTCCCTGCATGGTGATTTCTCACTTTCCCTCTCACTGTCTCTGTCTCTCCTTGGTGAGTGCATATGCCCTGTGGCAAAAAAATCTTTAAAAAAAATTATGGGGCCAGCAGGTGACACAGTGGTTATGGCACTGGACTCCCACATGGCTGACAGCAGTTCAAGTTCTGGATCTGGCAGCTTGAAATTCACATGCTGGGCACATATGTGTGCATACCCCAAATCCTGAGAGGAGGATGTAGGAGAAGGGACTGCGGTGTGGCCATCTCCCCGGGGGTGATTTCTTGCTTTCTGTCTCCCTGGAAGCACACGTGCCCTATAGCAAAAATATCTCAACAAAGAAAAGAAAAAGAAGAAGAATTTCCTTCTGGATTCTGGGTATTTGACTGGCTCCAGTGAATGGAGCATTCTTCTTCTTCTTCTTCTTCTTTTTTTTTTTTGGTGGTGGGGGAGAAGTCTTTGCTATAGGGAGCATGCAATTGCCAGAAAGGCAGAGAGAGACAGAGAAAGACAGAGCGACAGAAAGCGAGAAAGCCTCCCTAGGGGGGATGGCCACGCTGCAATCCCTTCTCCTCCATTCTCCTCTCAGGATCATGCATACACACCTGGAGTGAGTTTAAGCCACCGGGTCTGGGACTCAAACCGCGGTCAACTACATAAGAGTCCAGTGACATAGCCATTACGCCAACTGCTGGTCTCCAAAGTGCGATTTCCTTCGGAGCATGAAACTGCCACGATATTTCAGTCATGGAACTCCTCCCTGCAGTCTGTTTAGGGAGGGGCCTGTTTCTTCCCTCCGCCTTACCTCAGCAGTTGCAAGCTAGATCTCCCTGCTGTCGGGTCCCTCCTCATTCCTTCTGTCCCTCAGACCACCCTTCCAAACAAAGCAGGAAGGATTTCTGCTGGGATGTTCAAACAGCTTAAAGAAAAAAAAACATGCACAAGAAACCTCCAAAATCACAAAGCTGGATATGTAGTGCATGATTTTTAAGCTGCCAAGTCTGGGACTTGAACCACGGACTGCCGCCATGTGAGAGTCCAGTGCCTTAATCACCATGCCACCTGCTGACCCCACAGTGTTTATTCTCAGGAGCCATAAGGGACACAGCCACGGTTTGTGGCACCTGTTCTGCACTGTGTATTCCATTAAGGTCTCTCCATACTTCTTTTATTTTCTTACATTTTAAATTAAATTAATTATTGTTATTATTTTAGTTTGCTAGAGGGCATGTATGCTCACCACAAAGAGAGATAGAGAGAGAGAAAGTGAGAAAGCAAGCCACCAGGTCCGGGGCTCAAACCATGGTTGGCAACATGGGAGTCCAGTGTCTTAACCATTACGCCACCTACTGGCCCCCTCCATACCTCTTCTTACTGAGTTCTCACCATGGTCCAGCGAAACATCACCATTTTAGAGATGAGAAAACTGAGGACTGGAGAGTCACAGAAACTGTCAGAGCGAACCCAGTCTTTGCTAAGGTGACGGAGCCAGGATCTGAACCCGGGTGTGCTAGACCCCGACATGTACGCCATTGCCGTAAGTGTCTTTCCCTGAGTCCTACCGCTAGCATGGAGCCCTGGCATGGCCCGCTGAGTCACTACTGCGTGAACAGCCGGGGAAGTGCCACTCGCACTTCAAACCAGGTGAGAAGCTGAACAGCGATGGGACGAGTGCGTGGGCCTTTCCTGCACCCTGCGGGCCCTGCTGGGCGTCCTTGCCTAAACCGTTTTCCTTCTCTGGACGCTGTCTTGGAATAATCGATCAAACCTGCCTCCCGCAGACGGCGCAGAGGAGGCAGCCCTGGGTTTACACACGCAGGAGCAGTCGGGTGAGCCTGAAAGATGCAGGGAGGCAGGTCTGGTCCAAAGGGGCTGAGGACAGTGTTGTTGAAGGACCAGGGACAAATGAGTTTTTACAAATAAGAAATAAAGGAGGCCACGCTATTTTTAGAAGGTAATTCATGTGGGCGCGGCCACGCGGTCCTTCTGTGCCACTTGAGCAGAATGTGGGTCAGGCAGAAAGCAATTACCCTTGGAGTACCTGGAGGGCAGTGTTGATTAGAGGATCTTTCTTGTAAAATTCCATCGCCACCGTCCTTCTCTCTAAAAGGTGGCTTCTCAGAGGACACTGGCACAGGACCCTGGGCCCACTTTTTCTTTGCCCTGGAAGGAGTCCAACCAGCCACACCTGTCCTGTTACCTCTAAGGATCAACTGAAGTGATTCTAGATGGTGGGATTCTGAAGGAAGACCTCGCCCAGTCTGCCTGATGCACCCCTGCAGAAGCAGCACCCCAATGATGCGAGAGGTCATGGCATCCCCATCTGCAGGGTCAGATGGCGCCATGTGCCCCCGACACTCACAGGGCACCATGCCCGCCCTGAACCTTTGACTCAGGGATTGGCTCGTCCCAGCACTTCAGTGAGGTTGCCTGGTCTCAACCCGGAGGTTCTGCGTATCATGTTTAAAAAAGCCTGAAGCAATGCTGAAACCCATGCAAACACAATAATACCCATTCTTTTCTTGTTGGCACATTGGAAAACAAAGGTCAGCATGCGTAATACATGCAGTTAAATCAGAAGACACACGTTTCATTAAACAACGTGGTCCTTCTTGGGCCAGCTGCTGGCATGGTGATTAAGGTGGCTGGATCCCACATAAAGGACTGTGCAGTTTGAGTCGCAGACCCAGCAGCTTGAAATCACACCAGGAACGAGTGTGTGCGTGTCCAAAATCCCAAGAGGAGAATGGAAGGGAAGGGACAAGGCTTGGCCATCCCCCCCGGGGGGGGGTGCTTTCTCATTTTCCCTTTCTCTGTGTCTCTCTGTCTCTCTGGTGAGCACACGTGCCTTATGGCAAGTTAAAAGGGGGGGGAGGGGAGGCTGTCTATCATCTTTGGTTAAAATACCTGCTGTGGCATCAGCTCTGGTCCTAAGTTGCTGTCTAGCTTTGGACCAACCACGTGTTCTCCTTGAGGCTTGCCTGGAAAGCGGTGCCGACTCCCCGCAGCACGTAGGGATAGGACCCTGGCGCTCGGCTGTCACACGCATGCCCCCACCGCTCTGCACAAACTCTCCCAGCAGGTGGTCTGGCTCCTTTTCATGTGTGTCTGTCCTCTCTCCCTGACCGGACTCACCACTCCCTGAGGACAGGGCCTCATTCGAAACTTTGAACCTGTCCCATGGTGCCTTGCACACCACGCATACTCAGCGATGCCTATCCATCATGTTTTCTGGTACTTACGTGCTCGTCAGGTCACCTAAAGTCGAGACGAAGTCTTCTATTAATGCCGTGCATTTATTTAATAGTAATATGAAATATTTTCCCATATAGTTTCCATCTATTTTCTAGTTCCACTTTTTTTCTTTTTTCAGGGAGAGATTTTTTTGCTATAGGGCATGTGCCCTCACTGGAGAGACAGAGAGCGAGAAATCGCCCCCCAGCGGGGAGGCCGCACTGCAATCCCTTCTCCTCCATTCTCCTGTAAAGATTTGGGCACCCAAGGGCATGCACGAAGCATCAGTTTCAAGCTGCTGGGTCCAGGACTTGAACTGCAGTTGACCACATAGGAATCTTGTGCCTTAACCACTTTGCCACTTGCCGGCCCCCAATATCACTTTTTTGTCATTCCTGTAAGGTTAGGGACAGAAGGAACCATGGGGATGGCTTTGGTTGCCCAAAGAGCACTTGGGACCGAGTGGGAGGGTGTATGGCTGAAGCCCCCAACGAGCGGGGTGGAGCCTGGACAACACCCCAGCCACCTGACACCTGGCCTGGTGCTGCTTCACTGTTGCCCTTTGGTGCCATAGCCCTGTAAGTACCAATTCTCGTCACACCCCTGTGCCACCTGGTGGTGTCAGGAGCTGCAGGGAGCCATTACCTCGTGGTTGGCAAATCGGATATCCCGAGAGAAGATGGTGGCCACCCAGTCGCACCCCAGTTTGACGTCGATGTTCTGGGCCAGCTTCTCCAGCGTGGGCAGGTGGCTGGCCTGGAAGTGGTAGGCCAGTGTCACATGCAGCTGCTTCTTATGGGGTTCCACGTGCACTTCTGCAGAAGGAAGGAGGTCAGCTATTACAGCGTGGCGACCACAGCAGCGAGCATGTGGAAGAGCATGCGGAGTTCTGCCTCCCACGTACCTGGGTTTTCGAGAAGGTCAGGGCACGTTTTTCCACACAAAAGTGCGTCAGGACTATCCTGACAACGCAATAAGGAGATTGTCCCTCAGTCAGACAAAATCTGCTGGACAAAACCTTTCCTGGACACAGACCAGAGGGGGTCTGGCCACAGGCCCTGGGTCAACCTGCTACTCAAGAGAAAGCACTCCACACGGCTTGCCTGTGGGAGCGGTGGGTGGCCGAGGGCGGACCCTCACCTCTCAATGGCTGTCACCAGCCCCCACATTCAGATGAGGGAACCAAGACCTAAAGGAATGAAGTGAGTTATGTAGAAATGCAGACCACGCTTTGTAACCGGCAACCCTGAAGACCATAACGCCTTCCATCTAGAATCAAATTGCTTCGCTGCTTCATGGTGGAGAAACAGGGGACAAGGTGGATGCTTCGAAACAAATTTCAAATAATTAATTATTTTAGGTTTTTATCATAAGGTGCATGTGCTCGTCAGAGAGAGACAGCGGCAGTGAGAGGTGAAGTGAGCAACAACCTGCTACTCAAGAGAAAGCACTCCACACGGCTTGCCTGTGGGAGCGGTGGGTGGCCGAGGGCGGACCCTCACCTCTCAATGGCTGTCACCAGCCCCCACATTCAGATGAGGGAACCAAGACCTAAAGGAATGAAGTGAGTTATGTAGAAATGCAGACCACGCTTTGTAACCGGCAACCCTGAAGACCATAACGCCTTCCATCTAGAATCAAATTGCTTCGCTGCTTCATGGTGGAGAAACAGGGGACAAGGTGGATGCTTCGAAACAAATTTCAAATAATTAATTATTTTAGGTTTTTATCATAAGGTGCATGTGCTCGTCAGAGAGAGACAGCGGCAGTGAGAGGTAAAGTGAGAAATCACCCTCCAGGGGAGATGGCTATGCTGCAATCCCTTCTCCTCCATTCTCCTCCCAGGATTTTGGGCACGCACACACACACACATGCACCTGGTGTGATTCTCAAGCTGCCAAGTCTGGGACTCAAACCATAATTGGCCTTGTGGGAGTCCAGTACCTTGACCACCACGCCGCCTGCTGGCCTGAATATTTTGAAATTTAAGGCAGAGTTCTCATCATACTGGGTCGAATAATTACTTGTGAAGAGGTGACCCTGCAATATAGGGTGCTCAAGCAGCACCCCAGGTTGTGGGAGCAACTCTCAACTGTGACGATCCCAAATGACTCAGCACCTTGCCACCAACCCCTGGGCGGGGTGAGAAGTGTGCCTGGGTGAGAAACACTGGCTTCAGTGTTGCAGATTATTATTCTAAGACACCTTAGAAACTGAAACGACACAAACTTGCCCACACGAGGGAATGGCTTTTATTTCTTGTTTGTACTTTAAATGATGGGGAGTCATCTAGTGTCCACGCTATTGGTGGTTGGGAAAAGCATGACACCTTTTCACATAGGAAGTGTATAAAAATATGTCAAGACTTTTCCAACGACCCAACAGATAATGCGACCAGAGGAATTGAGACTATTTGAGCAATTAAGGGGTGTGGTCGAGTCACACAGTGAACTTGTGGCCAAAGCAGAAGGGCATGCTTTTCTCCTTTTTTTTTTTTTCCCAGACAGGTCTTGCTGTCATGTCTCCCTCCAGCTGGGACTAGAGACACACGCCACCACATCGGGCTCTGTTTTAGATGATGTCTGGCTAGGTTGCCCGGGACAGCTTTGACTCACAACCCCTCTGCCTCAGCCTCCTGAGTCGCTGGGGTTACAGGTGCACGCCACCGTGCCAGCCCTGGTGGTGGTCTGAGGGCCGAGCCCGGGCCTCCTGTGCAGCCCTAGCCTGTGGAGTGCAGGTCTCAGCAGCGTGCACCTGTGTGGCGGGGCTGGCCTTCCCATCTTACTTAGGCTGCAGTCACCCTGGGGTGTAAGCCCCGGGAGACGAGGTGTCTGTTTCTTGCTTACACAGTGTCCCACTCTGCAGATCATGGAACGAGTCTCCAGAAGCCACCCAGAATGGAGGACGACACTAAACGTTCTTGCGGAAGAAACCTGGGTCTGCTGACAACCTGGAGTGCCAGACGCATGTGGGAGGGCATTTTTTAAAAATGATCTTTATTTTTAATTTAAAAAATTGTGTGTGTGTGTTTCCTCTATATTTTACTTCGTTGGGGCCCTCTGGCTTTCCGCTCAGGTCACAGGGAGCTGGAGCAGCTATGCTGGGCAGGGCCACCAGTTCCCTAAGTCACCACCAGGGGGCCGCACATGGCCGAGCATGGAAGCCACCAGGTTCTTAGAGGATGGGCTCCCCCATCCTACAGAGCCAGAACCTCTGGGCCTCCCAGGATGCCCTCTAAGAACCTGCACAGTCGGGCTGAGGTCCGCTTTCCCAGCTGTGCAGGGTTTGGGTTTTGTGGCTTTGCCATTAATTCCGTTTCTTGTGGATTTAGTGCTTCTGACACCAGTTACAATGAGATGAAAAAAAAAATAAAAGCCATTTCCTTGAGCTGGAGGGGTAGGGACAGTAAATAATCTGCCTCTCTACTAGGCTCGTAAGAATCTATGACGTATCAGGCTGCACCCAAGTCAGAAACCAGAGACCAGGCCCTAGGGAGACGGGCGCCGGGGCACGGCTGTAGTCCAAGCAAGCCCCTCCTGAGTATTGGCACTGTCCTGAGGCCTGCAGTTCCTTCAGGGATTCCACAGTGACACCAGGCCCTGGTCACTGTGCCCTGCAGGGGTGCTGAGCCCTGGTCACTGTGCACTGCAGGGATGCTGAGTCCCAGTCACTGCTCTGGAGGGATGCTGAGCCCTGGTCACTGCCCTGCAGGGATGCTGAGTCCCAGTCACACTGTTCCCAGGGTCCTGGGCCCTGTCAGGGCTTTTCTGGTCAAGAGACGCAGATCAGGAGGGCTGAGCTGGTGATGGCCTCAGTACAGGGGCACTGGCAGTGGGTGAAGCCAAGGCCCAGTCAGAGACTAAGGAGCAAATGCCCCACCTCTGCCCCAGGCCTCTGTAAGCTGCAGGACCTGGCCTCTGGATCTCCTGCAGCTTGGGCTTTCACCTCGGCCTCTGTGGTGCAGCTCACCCCTCACTCTGGTTGAGGGTCTCCCTGCTGTCCTCTGCTGGCCCCCTCTCGCCAGCCTGTGTGGGAGGGCCTTCCTCTTCTCTTCAGACGGATGGTTCTCAGCGTGTTTTCTTTCTTCTGTGAAGAAGGAATCACTCCTGCAAGCGCCTCTCCTCTCCACGCTGAGATCACACAGGGGCCGAGCCGGTTTCCCAGCTGTGCCTCTGGCCAGGAGAAAGCCCTGCCTATTCCCTGTCTGAGTCCTCTCAGATAAACATGCAGTAGGCACCGATAAGCACGGCCCACTGCGGTCTCACTCGAGGAGCCCAGCGAGGCCTGGGCTAGCTCTCCTAGCTCTCAGCCAGCTCCGAGCTGGCTGCCACTGTGCTCAGACAGGATTTTGCAGACATTGCCTCGTGCCCCAGTGTCATGTCTCAGTCAATACGTGGAGCCCCCTTGGAGGCTAACCCTGCAGCTGCCAGGAAGAGGGGGCGGGT